GGGATAGAGAGGACAGCAGGCCCCTGAGCATGAGACAGAAAGAAAGCAGCTGGGCCCTGCCACATTCCCTCCAACTGCACATTTAGAAGCAGGACAAAATCCTAGCAACCCAAGGGCAGCTCTGCATGCCTACTTGGAGTCACATCACTCTGCAGCCTGTTGTCAAGCCACACTCTCAGCAGCTGGCCTTGACCCTGATTCTACTTCTGAATGAAACGCATGGCCCATCCCATCCAGACAGACATGTGGGACCTCAGAGATGCAGTGACCTCTTTGTTCCCATTAGGTCATTTAACACAGAAGACAGACACTCACCTGAGGGATATGGAGGCCTTCCTCACCTCTCCCCTGTGACTCGGTGGGCCCTGCTACTGCAGCAAGCATCTCCTTTCAGGGATGCAGGCACTAGTACCCCTTTCATCTTTGCTGCCTTCACAGGTTGGCCAATGGAAGGGGTTGGATGCATTGAAAGTTGTCCTGGAACCTTACCTCATGGCTTAGCAGAGCTGCCTCTGCTTGTCACTGGGCTGCTAAAATTTCATTTATGTTCTGTTCATTTCCCCTTAGAGCCAGTGAAGGGTTCCATCACCACTCACCAGGTGCTACCCAGCCAGGAGTCCAGGAGTCTACAGCTAGTGCATCTGTGTTCTGGTCACAGCGTATCCCCTCTGTGCTTGAGGGCTCTCTCTGCAGCCCTGGCATCTTTCCCAGGACCCTGTTCCCTGAGGCAGCAGGTGCACAACTCTGGGCAAGTCTTTTAGTCCTCAGTCTGACCAATTTGTTAAATGGGAAGGCCACTGGAGTCCTGGAAGGCTTTTCTATATACACGTGGCTGTGCGTGTGGCCTTCAATGGCACTCCTGAGTCAGTATGGGGAGGGGCTGGATTGCAGAGGTTGCACATGGTCTTGTCATCGTCTATGGAAGAACGTGGGAAGGAATCCACTCCCAATTTCATCTCCCATTCTCAGCCAACCCTACTCCCTTCTTCTAGGGTATATATACCCTAGGCATGGAATGTACCAGAAGAGGGACGGTCATAACAGCCAGGGGGAAGGCCCAGGTGCGAAGCATGTCCCCATGCTGCCTGGCAAAGCTGGTGCTGGGTGTTTTCACCCTAAAGACAACAAACTTTGCATGTCTTACTTCACACGGTGACCCACTGCAACCCAGGCATTTTTATCAGCAGAACTAGGCACCTCGCAAACCCTCCCCTCACTAACACAGGTGTAGGTAGGAAAAAACCTAAAACATAAACTAAGTCATAAACTATACCAGGGGTCATGGTTGGGCACCTCTGCTGGGTGCTTTCAAAATGTGATCTCATCTACCCTGCCCCCAGCTTATAGATTAGAAAATAAAGTTGGGTTCAGTCAGTCAGAAATGAACAGAGGGACCCAGGGTAGGAACCCTGATTTGGGTTTGACAAAGCACCAGGCCTCAATACAGGTAAAAAGTCCCACCAACAGGAACTGGCATACCCAAAATAGTCTGTTCTGTGAGCCCTTAGCTACTCCCTGCTTGGCCACTCCCTCATCACCATCTAGCACCCTCATCCTTCATTTCCACTTCTTGCAGGGAAGCCACACGCCCCAGGTAGGACCTCCCTGCTCAGCTAGATGGCAATGACACCTTTCAGGTTGTGTGTATATGTGTGTGTGTTTGTACACGAGCAAATGTTCACGTGCCCACATTAGAAAATAAAGTCTGTTTGCCTCCAAGTATGGACATTTGTGGAATGGGTTCGCTCAGATATCCTACCATGTATGCCAGACATTTAGTCTGAGAGTGAGAAAGTCTATAATCCTGGTGAGCTTAGGTATGTTGTACATACCCCTAAGAGGTACTTTTTCAAGCACTCTACTTGCTCTGTCCGCATAGTAATAACACTTAGAGGGTAGATAGACCTGGGATGGAAAGAGTCTGCAGGTATGGCTCTAGAGCTGGGCTTCCCAACCTGAGCACTGATGACATTCTGGATGGGATAACATCTTGCTTTGGGGAACTGTCCTGTGCAAGGGAAGACATTGGCCAGTACCTCTGACTTTTCCCTCCTACGTGCCTGTTGTATCCATCTTCTGGCTGTGACAACCAAACAGGTCTCCAGACATTGTCAAATACAACCCCATCCCCTTTCTCCCAGAATCTGATTCTGCAAGGCTGGTCCTTATGAAATGCAACTTCAGGTAGCACCTTCCCTCAGGGAACACGTAGACTGTTCCAAATCCCACGGCCTTGGGACCCAGGTCTCACCAGAGCTGATGTCGCCTGGCTTGGGAAGTGGGTAGAAGGTGAGGGGGAGAGAAGGAGCAGGTGAAATAGAAGAAGCAAGAAAAGACCATGAGAGAAGCCTTTAGAAATAAGAAAGGTTTATTTAGCAAAAGCCACTAGACTGGTGACAACGTCCAGGGATTAAGTGCACTTACATGGACAGAATCTGTTCCCAGAGAGTTGATCCAACAGAGTTAATGACACAACAGTTTTTAGGAAGTGAAGGGCTAGGGAGTAAGGGGGTAGGAAAAAGCAGTCAAGCAAAGAGTTAAATAAAAGGAATGCAACACCAAAACAGGATCAGTGGAGAGAAGTGAGGCTAGGAAGAGGCTTTGCAGATAGCATTGATACAAGCAGGAATGGAAGGAGTATCATTTTCAACCCCAATATGCAGTCCTTCTCATGTGGACAGATTCTTTTGTGGCTCCGCAACTGTGAAAGCCTCATTTGTCCCAGAGTCTGTGGCACCCGGGGAAAGCTGGGGCAGCCACCAGCAAGGTGGGGGCCCCCAGTGTCCACTTGTCTTTCATATGGGGCAGAGTAGAGGATAAAGAAGGCAGCAGAGTTGAGTTAGCAGAGCCAGAAGCAAGGAGGGAGGCCAAGGTGACATCACTGGGAACCGGGTCAGCAATGCTCACTTCCAGCTTAGCTGATCCTGATGGCGGCTTGGGGGCTGGTGACCGTGCAAGGCCCCTAGACCTGTCCTTAGTCTCCCCAACTCCATGTGCACTATTATGAGTCACACCAAGGAGGCTGCCAGCACACACAAGTGTTCCAGGGAGGGCCTGAGTTCTGAGTGAAGGTTGGCGAGGCAGGCGAGGACCATGGAACAGCCAGAGGGCGAAAGCTGGCGCTGTGTTCCCAGTCAGTGTCACAGATAACGAGTGTATCCCATATTTCACTCTCCCGTTTCTTTCACAAGCTTTTCAAGGCCACTTCAGAAATGACCTCCCCAACCTATTCCACCACCCCCATGCCACCCCACACCCCACACACTACATCCCTTGACCTCTGGCTTTGTCTCCTCAGCTCCTGCTGGGACACTCAAAATCTTAGTGGCCTAAAAGGTCCCAGACTCCAGGGTCTCGTTAAGCTGAGCAGGCTCAGACAAACTGGCTCCTGGGCAATTGTTCCTTCGTGGGTCTGCTTTTCTTGGTTCTTGACTCTCTTGTGTATTTGGATCTACTTCCAATGCTTCAGCAGACAGAGCCACACCTCTCCAACTAAATGCACATTAGGAAAAGGTCCCCAAATCTATTGCTGATTCTGATTCCCTGAAGTCCCATTTTTCTTCTCACCAGTCACTCTCACAAGCCTGCACACATACTTACCTTCTTCCACAGGTACATACACACACTCGCACACATGCACACACCACCTCATCCTATTTCCACTGGCACGCATGGACCAAGCAGAGCTAATGCAGAGTTGCATTGATTCTCTTGAGTTTGAACTTTCGGGTCTAGAGGAAATCCAACTGTAGCCGTAAGGAAAGGGCTGCGCCCTCATTCATATAAAGCTCCAAAGCCAAGGCAGAGTTGAAGAACTCTATTCCGAGGTAACCACAACCTTACTGATTTCCCCTCTGACAATTCCACAGCCTGGGTCTGAGCTGGGAGTTCAGCACTGAGACTTAACTTCCCCTGACAGAAAGCTCTAACCTATGTCTCAGCCATGGATGATCTTACAGGAACCAAAGGAGCTTTTCCCCATGGCCCCCGCCAGTCTGCTAGTGAAGTGGGAATCCCTTGGCCAGACCTGGATGGAAACAGATAACAGGATTTGCACATGGTACTTCTGACAGGTGTGCTCAAGGCATGCACCCACAGACAGAGTGGCTGGGGTGGCACGGCTGTGGTCCCTGATATCAGTGGCAGTGATTCTGCAGAACACACCAAAATCCTGGCTGGCAACCTGCATCCGTGTTATGGTTTCTGTTTCCTTGCCATGAAACCTGACCGGCACGATCTGGTGGAAAAGGGCAGGCTGATGGGTAAGGCTGGAGGCCCTGCTCTCCAACGTGAGCAGAGGCAGAGTACTGTATAAACCTTCTGCTGGCATAGCCCCCTGGGCAGGACATGGGGTGTGAGGGGTGGTGGGACAAGGACACTTTCCAGTTTCTGGGCTCCAGGCAGGGCTTCCTGTTTGAAGTGACTTGTGGCAGCCACCCCCTGCCTGGGCTGCCTTCGAAGCACCGTGCTTATATCCAGTTGGAGAAAATGCTTGGATCCAATTCTACTGGGCACATCCTCATTCTACCGTTGCACGGAAAGGACCAGCCTGGTTTTTGCAGCCCAGGTCCTTGGGCCTCTCCAAGCTCAGCCAGGGCCTAAAGAACTTCCTCTTGGAAGAGCATCCTATATCCAGAACCAAAGTACCTGAGAAGGGATCAATGGTTTCCCTTCTAATGGGGGAATGGGGGTTGGGTGAGCAAGGGGGCCACTGGGGATTTGACGACAGAATAGAAGAGCCTTAATTAAGCCTTATAATGCAGTGGGGGAGGGGGCAGGTCTTCCAGAATCCTGGTGGTCCGAGGAGGGTCCCCAACTTAAAGCCATGGGCTCTGGCAGGCACAGCCCCCAATCCCCTTTAGTCACAAGTAGTGGAGGGGCTGAGTGTCCTCCTGGAATCTAATGTTTTCTGCAGTTTCCCCTCTTAAAACCTTAACCCTTTTCTGAGCCTTAACATTCTCCCAGGCAGGGTGCATCCGCGGGCCGTCTCCCTACCCAGGCTGAGCAGCCACACTGGACATCCCTGCACAGTGCGGCCACGCCATCTCCTCCACCTGTTCCTCTCCAGCTCCTACACGGCGATCTCATCATCCAGGCTGTCACCCAGCTCCTGCCTCTGCAGGACATTGAGCAGGCGCGGCAGCTCTTCCTGGGACCATGAGTCACGCTCCTCGCTGTCGTCCGTGGTGGATTCATACTCCGAGGCGATGCCGGACTCGCGGAACTGGAGGAGCTCCAGGCCGCCCAACACCTGCTGCCCGTTCGCTGGCGGGGAGAGGAAGCGGAAGCATTCAAGTTTCACCAAGCAGTCGCGCCTACCTAGGGGGCTGCCAGTCTGTGGTGCCAAGTCGGCCAGGCCCGCGCCGGGAGGTGGCGAGTGCAGGTCCTCTGGCTTTGGGGTGGTGGGGTCGCAGAGCACAGGCAGGGCTCCAGAGCGGAAGGTGATCTCCAGCAAACTGTCCTGGGAGCCCACTGGAGGGAGACAAGAATGGGGAGAGGGCGCTGTCAGGCACTGGCAGCTGGTTTGGAAAGAGACCATCTTCCCTGGCCCCTGCAAGGGACTATCTCTAGTCAACTCAGTAGTAACTCCTGGGGGTTTTGTGGTTCAGCAAAACAGGGCAAGCCTTCTGACATGCTCCCTCCTCCTCCCTCTCCGCCACAGCACAGCGCCCCCGGCTGGAGGGGAGCAGCAGGGACAGGGTAATGAGAACCACCTGATGATTAAGGGAGGGCAGGGATACCTTGAGCTGGCTTTGTGGTAGGGAAAGGTACCAAGGGAAGTCACGGTCAAGGCATGTGAGTCTCTTGGTGCAATCCTGTTGATTAACGTTCACCAGAACCTCATCAGGATTCCAACAAACACAATTCTCACAATCCACAGGCTCAGTTAGGGGTGAAGCAAGTGACTGCCAACCCATATCCTTGGGCCAACCTTTAAGCAAAGACCTCAGTTGGGCCCCAGACTTACATAAGCAAGAATAATGTCTGTGGGCTGGATTTGCTAAGGCACACATTTTCAGAGAGCTCATGGGATAATTTAAGGAACAACTTCTGGAATAACTAGAAAAATTTTTGCAGTTAGGTCTGGGTTTGAATTTTGTCTCTACCCCTGGCTAGTTCTAAACCTTGGTGACTTTAATCTGAGTCTGCTTCCTCATCCACTACACCTGGGATTGAAGGGATTAAATCTCACCATTGTTTCAGACATGACAGGTGATCCGGGGATGTGGGACTGGTCCACAGCCATCACATACTTTTTGTCAGCTCTCGGGAAGGTATGTAGGCATGCACCGTGCGTTCCACTCTCCTCCCAAGCTCTACCTGGAGGGCTGCATCTCAGGCCCAGGGCCACACATCTCCCCTACTCAACAGAGCTGCCCGCCTAGTTACTCTGCGGCCATAGCTACTAAATGCAGGTACTGTTGCCAGCTTTTCCTATGTGACAGGGTGAGTGATTGACAAAGGGTCTTCAAAAACTCCATTGAAAATAGGATCAAAAGATAAAAACTTATTTTAGCATCAAGAACATTATAGCCCATGCGTAGCTTTTCATCTATAGGGCAGATTCTATGGATTTCTTGAAAACCCCTTATATGGCCTGGGAAGAATCACCTACAGCACAGTTGGAGGTCTGTCACACAACTCACAGAGAACATGACACTCAATGGGTGCTCACTGCATTTTGACAGAAATAAGTTTCTCTGAGAAAGAACTGGGCTGCCTTAGGCTATAGGGTGCCCGAGCTCCCTTCCTTTCAGGCTGGGTGAGCTCACAGCAGTCTCAGACCAGGGATGTCTTAGACCAGTTCTGATCACTGAATTAGAAGACAGCCAAGGAGGCCCTGGCTCTGCTACTTTGTAATTCAAGCAGTGCACACACAAGACTGATAAAGCTGCCTCTTTTTTTTTTTTCTGGAATACAGGACAAGGTCAAGGTTTCATGAAGCATCACCAAAAACCCTAGGGAATCAGCGTGTGCTTCACTGTCCAGAGTTCCCACGGGAGAGGGCAAGGCCTGGGCAGGGTGCTGGCTTACTGGCATTCTGTCCTGACAGCTTCAGCTCCAGCTCCTGCACCTGCTTCACCAGCAGGGAGATGTGCTGGAGCATGTCCTTGTTCTGCAGCAGGAGCTGGTGCACACGGGCCTGGGCCTCCAGTCGCGCCGCTGCCTCAGCAGCCAACTGGTCCTTCAGCAGGTGAACCTGCAGGGAGGAGGAGAGGCAGAAGGCAGGACAGAGAGAAGAGAAGGGGTGTGAATACGAATGGGAGTCACCGGTGGGCAGTCAGCATTAGGGATGCCCTCCATGTTCAATTCCAAAAGCAGCAGCCCTTTTGAGCAAAATGGGCATCTGGGCTTGTTATGCGGGAGAGGAAAAACCCAAAAGATACTGCCAAGGGAGGACCATGACATGTCACACCAAGGGTAAAAGGCAGGAAAGTGCCACCCTACTTCCCAAAGCCCTTCCCTCCCACTGTCCCCTCACCCACGTCCCTGCTGGGAGAACCCCTCCAGCACCTGGCAGAGCACCACCAGGCTGACAGACGAGGTGTCCTTTTCTGTCTTTTGGTAAACAAAAACAAGCCTGGCTAAATATACTGGCTCACCAGTTAGGAATAGTGCACAGCAAACTTCCATAGACTCTATTCTCCATCCCAGGCCAAAATACACTGAGAGGTTGTTAGCAGCACATATAACATTTCCATATTAGGAAGGGAGGCTATCATGAAATCAGCCCTTTCTTCCCATCAGCTTCTTTCCCCATCCTCTGTTACTATGTGTTCCTGAGGCCAACACCCAGGGCCGTGATCATGCCTGATTGGGGTCAAACACTTGATAATGAACTATAGGGACCCCACCCATAAGCCCAGAAGGGCTGAGGAGAACATGTGTGGCAGCACCACAGTGATTTATACCTTCCAGGGGAGGGTAACTGGCAATGGCACCCTCCACATGCTTGTGCCTGGGGTATCTCAAGTGTGATCTTGGTGTGGAAGTAAAATCCAACGGGAGGACCCGGTGGGGTGTGCAGTTACACTAGGACGCTGTCCTCAAGAAACAGAGTCACAGACCACCAGCCTGTTGACACAGGTATGGCTTGCTGTTCAAACATAGGAGTCTCCAGGGAGGGTCTCAGGTGGTCCCTGAAGAAGGGACACTCATACCTGTGGCCACCTAGACCAAGGAAGCTTATGGAAAGAGGGCATCCTTCATTGAAAAAGATGGTCTGGACAAAGGTACAGGGTCAGGTTGACTCTGGTGTGAGCAGAAAGAAGGGGAGCTGGAGGCATGAGCTGCTGCTTATGCTCAGAAAACACTCTAGATTTCTGCAAAGTAGATTTTACCCTGGATCACACGCACCAAGTGTGACCAAGGAACCTGCCAGGAAGGTGTCTGCTCCTCCAAAGGCCAGCACACAGAATGACACTCCTGGGAAGGGCGGGTGCTTCCCTTTGCCCACATTTGAGGACCTGACCTTGTTGTTGGCTCTAAGTGGAGCCACTAATGAGATTAGCTGCCACTTTGCATCAGTGGCTCCCCAGGGTCGGATCTATCTTTCCTCCAGGGCAATGGTGTCTGAGGAAAGTGAAGGACATCTGCTCCCCCGAAAGCATGGTGGGGACAGACTGCTCCCATCAAGATGTCTGCCTCCCCTTCTGCCTCATAAAGGAGTCTTCATGGAAAACAAAAACACTGTGCATAGAGATAAAAAAATCTTTTGCATTTAAAAAAGTATCTCTTAATTCCATATTTTTTCTATAATCTGTTTGAAATCCTCTCATACAAACTGAGGCAATACCTGGACAGAGGGTGCAAACAGGGGAAGAAGTAGCCATGAATGTAGTCTGCATGGCTTGGAGACTAATTCACAGGGAAATTCCACCTGATGGTCCCACAGTTTCTACTGGTTCTGAGAAATGGAACAGCTGTGGAACAGACATGGCCTTCCGAAGGACCATCTTTACTTTCCACATGTTACTAAGTAACTAAGGGTTTCACTGAAAGGGATCTACTGAGCTGCTTGAATTGCTTAGTCATTTTCCAGTTTCTTTGGAACCAAACAGACATGCCAGGCAGAATTACACAAAGTGCTCCAGTGGATGTAGACAGAGAAAGCAGGGAATTCTACTCACTACTAACTGGCACCTATGGACGGCTCTGCATACCTGCTCTGTTACTTTCATCCCATCAGAACAGGACATTTGAAAGCACCAGACCAGGTACTGGAACTCTAGACTTCCTTGGTTATTCTCTAGGCAAATGAGGGTAATTCACTCTCTGGATCTGTCCCCTGACACGGGTGGTAGCTCAAACACAGAGATCAGTATTATGGGTCATTTGCTAAAGGCTTCTTCTTAAAAAAAAAAGAAAAAAAAAGCCCCAGTTCCCATTGTCAAGTTGAACATCAGGATTGAAGACCAGAGAATGAGGCAGGAGCGGGGAAAACTCAGAAGCTTCCCTTGGCAAGCATGCAAGTTGCCTTGGTGGAGTAACCTCACTACCTAAAAGATGACCCTTGAATCGAATGCTGCCATTTTCAATCCACTGGGCTAGGCATTAGGAGGAACAGCCCTGCGTTTGAGCATGTCCAGTACAAGGTCAAGTAAGAATGCTCCCTCTGCAAACAGCATTATACCATTACAGGTATTTTCCAGCCCTGTGGATGTGGGAGCAAATGCTGTTGCTGCTGCCTTCAAGGCAGCACTAATGAGCCCTTCTGCCCCTGCAGCTGTCAGAAGTGACACCAGATGTTAAGGCTCACACTTTACCATCATGCCCTGTTGCAGAAGAACTCGAACCAGGCCAGGCTGAAACAAAACAGCCTGCACTTGTTTTAACTTGCAGGCCAAGTGTTTGCGCCGACTTGGACTTGAAGCACTGGCATGTTAGTTCCACCCTGATTTGGGCAGCATGGCACTGAGGCCTCTGTGCCTTGTTCTATGTCACACAACAAGAGCAAGCTGCACCACTACCTCCTGAGCAGAGGGCATGTCTGTTTGCATGCTGCCCACTTTTCTTTCAAACAACTAAACATCTTTTTCTGGGAGGGAAGAGGTTAGTCTCTCTTTTTCAGAGCTGGGCTATCTTTGATAAGGACTGTTGCAGTGACAGATGAAGTCAGTGTTGTGGGGCATGGTGATGTAGCACCAAGGCCATGGTCAGAATGCTGGCACTCAGATGCCCAGCTCTGTGTCCTGATCATAGCGCCACACCATAAGTTCAACACCTTCCGGCACTCCGCCACATCCCAATACACTGATGCCCACCTCCACCCACCCAGCAGCACCAGACCATTGACCCACTGGCCCTCCAGCCTACTTGCCTGGACTCCAGCTCCTCCATCAGAAGTAGGGGCAGGGCCAGGCTGAAGTTAGGGAGCAGCAGGCACATGGAAATGGCAGTGGAGAGAACCACAGCAATTTGCGCCCCCACACACATGGGACACACAAGCAGAGGCAGGTGGTGCTATCTTAACATGCATGAGGCAGGGCCTTGGGCAATGCACACCTTGGTGCTGGGGACTGGGAGAAGCCACAAGGACAGAGGCTAAATCCAGGGCCTGGGGGGTGGGGATGCAGAGCATTTTAGCGCCATTCCTCTAACTAACTACAGCACACACAACTGCAAAGCGTAAATTGCAAATTACTTGCTCCTGAACAAGTGGATGTGACAGTAGGTAGGGAGAAATCTTTAAATAGCAATACTGATTACACTAACATTTCCCCCATGAGCAGAGCCAGCCATTGGAAAACTGTGAAGGGATATGTCCTACACAGCTGTTGCCAGTCAACCAGAGTGCCCACATCAATTATGGAGCCTCAAGGGCCCCGTCCTCGGCCATGCAGGTGCCAGTCACACTCCAGCCTGAGTTTAAGGCTTGGCTATCCTCTTATTCACTGCCTTGAGTCTCAGGGCCATCTGAAAGCAGAAAGGCTGCGCAGCCAGGCAAGCTTCATGCTGGGTCAGGGGAGTGCTCAGAGGGACTTGGGTATCCATTACTTATACACTAAATTTACCTAGGAGGTACTTAAGAATTGGGAGGACCTTTGCCCAGATACTCAGAAGGGCAGGCAAGATCCCTCACCTAGGTGGACCTCTTCCATCTAGGGTGAGGCTAAGAGAACTCATGGGGACTTGGACCAGTTCAAAACACTGTGCAGCAGATTAAGCCTGATCCCAATGGCAGCAGGAAACCAGATCAGCTTATGAGAGTAAACGTGGAGGAAGGACATAAATAATGCAACAGGTGATCCCAAGAGGATGCTCGTCAGCAAGAAACCATGTCTTTATCCTTAGACTTTAATCCAGGAGCAGCACAAGAGGACCTGGACACTCACTGAGAAAAGGCAACCATGTATCCACCTGAGATGCTGGGGTTACAGTTTTACTCATTGGGATTCTGGAGACTGTTGGCATTTTAATGAAGACAGAAACCTCACAGTTTGAAAGCAATGGAATCTGAACAGAGCAAGGCTGAGGTCAGTCCTACCTGTGCAGAGAAAAACCAAGCATGCTCTATTTGGTCTGTTTCCAATATACCCAACTCACCAAGACTGTCCACCAGGCTATCTTTCTTATGTGATTCTTTTTACCCATGGATATGGATGCTAATAAAGAGCTCGGTACCAAATAAAAGAGTGGAGGAAACGGGAATATATAGAGAAATCTGCAACTGACGGCTAGTTTAGGACTGGGTCTTTCTATAAGACCAGGGAGCCTAAGCCAGTTGGGAACAACAATGCAATGTGCAAGAAGGAAGTCATCACAGGTTGACAAGTGTGGATGGAAGAGGGGGGTGGGAAAGTATGTTCAAGGAGCAATCCGGTGACCCTAAGGTCCTATCTGATCCAAAGTCTCTGAAAGGCTTTGATTCTATACAACCTCACCTCACAACACAGATGCAAAGAGCAGCCTTTCCTCTTTTTCTTGCTGCCCCTGAGTCAGGCACAGCACCTTCTACTCAACAGATTCCAAGGCTGCAGAAGGGACTAGAACAGGGAGCCTCTTAGGACCACCACAATGTGTTCCCTTCCTGCGGTCACTGTCTTTTAGGCTGGGGGTGTTAACAGGGATGCCTTACTCTGTACTGGAGAGTCATTCACTCCAAAAGTCCCATTTTGAATGTGATAGACTAAGGGAAAGGTCTTGTTGCCTGGGAGACCGAGTGCTTCCTTCAACGCCGCCACGCTCTGGTGTGCCTTAAACATTTTGCAAAGAGTATCTCTTGAAGACTTAGCAGAGACTTGAAATTTAAATGCCTGACAATCTAATATCATGAATATGCATAGAGATTATGCTCTGATAAATAACAATTACTTGGTCATTGATATGCTGAAAAAGGAAAATGTATTCTAGGAGGAGATGGATGGATTTGTATGTGGGAAAGTTTCGGGAATGCAAGTCAGAATGGAGCCTGTGTGGAGTGCTCGGCTTTGTGCTCCCGTCAGCCATCACGCCAGGGAGGAGGGGATTCTTGGTCTGCCATATCATCATTAGCCACAGGAGATGAATTATTTTATTTGACAGAGAGGGATGATTTTCTTCTCCAAATGTAAGAGGCCACTAATACAGTTCATTCTTTCCGGCTGTTTATGGGACACCTGCAAATCTGATTAGTCCCACCACTCAGCCTTTGATTTTATGGCTAGAATTTCAGAAAGAGCTCCAATAACTAAGTCTGCTCTCCCCAAACCCGACAGTGAGGATCATCTACAAGGCTGGTGCCCAGATCCGTGGAAAGAAACTGCTGTTCATAAGATCTTTCAAATCAAGTCAGAGCAGATGCTTTTAGGACTAGGTCAAGGTATACCTAGAGGAAAGATGGCCTTAACTGGGCAAGTCACTCCACCCAAGAGCCAGGAAAAGAATGCGCAAATGGTACAATGCAGGGTCAGTAGACGGTCCTTGCAGAAGTTGGCTTCCCCACCACATAGTCGGTCCCTGGAGAACTTGGCTTCCCCACCACTCTAGAACAAGGGAAATCCAAGCAATCAGTCTGCACAAGCAGATGTGCATACAGATCTTTCCAGACTGTGACTTTTTATCTTCATTGACTCATGCAGGCCATGGCCCTGACTCCGACTCAAGATGGCAGGGCAAGCAGCCTCTGATAGAGGAGAAGCTCAGGCTCAAAAGATTCAAGAAGATATAGACTCTCACGCTCTCCAGAGATAGCACGTGGGAACAAGGCCTGCTGAAAGCAGCAAGGAAGGCCCTCTCACCCCTGACACACAAAGTGGTGGCATCCGCCATGGTGCAGGTACGACTCAGCCCCGAGATCTCAGCCAATCCCTCTCCTTACAGCTCAACTAGTATATCTAAATTCCTGTAAGTTACATCTCAGCATAATGAATTCCAAGGTCAATATTGTATAAAATACTGCCTGGAATAAATCGATCACTAGTGGAGAGTTGGAAACCTCTTATGGACAAGCAGGTTGGGATGCCAGGGCAATGATCTCTACCAGGGTATTTGACACAAGTTCATACCTGCAGATGTTTTAAGAGTGGCATCCCAAATCACATCTGTCCTGGCTCCCAGGCTTTCTCCCTCCTAACCCCAAACACCAGGAGAAGAAGACGGGAAAGGAAGGGTGGGATCATGTGCATTTTTCCTTGCTAAGTTCAAGTCATTATCCAACGATATCCAGCCAAGCCAGCCAAGCCCAACTCACAGCGAGGGATACATGGGAAATAAAAATGTTTTTTTTTCCATTTCAACTGCATCCTTCATTTCTCCCCTCCCACTCCCCTATTCCCTGACAAGCAATGACCCAACAGCATGAGCGATTCCTTACGGCTCCCTAGGTGTTAAACCTGCCCTGAGCCCCTCGCCAGGGAAGGCGCATCAAGCCCATGAGAGTGGAGCCTGCGAAGTAGGGAGGAGGCTGAGGAGAACCTGGGCCACAGCCACTTGCGTCTGCTGCTGCTGCTGCTGGAGGAGCTGCTGGAGGAGCTGCATTTGGTGATGGGTGGACAGCGGTGTCCCTGCACCCAGGCCTGGGGGCTTGGAGGAAGCAGAGGGGAGTAGCATCCGAGGTGACGCTGTCAGAGTGGGCTCCTGGGGCTGGGGTGAAGCCTGAAAGAGAAGACAGGGCATGTCACAGAGGAGTTGCCGTGAGAAACCTAATTCTCTTTGCCATAGACCTGGAGCGTGCGTGTGCAATGCTCTCCCACCCCCACTGCCACACACACATGGTCAAATGGCCCACCCACAACTTGCACACTGGAAATGCTGCATCTGCCATGGAAATATGAATGGGGTGCCAAGGAGGAAGCTGTGTAACTGCTCAGGCAGGTGCCACGTGGCAAGAAAAGGCTCATTTGGACATTTCTGTGCCTTCAATGGGATGGGAGACAAACAGCTGAGCCTTGCTCAGCTGATGTCTTGCTCATCACTTCCCATTACATTCTACCATTGAGTCATCTGAGGTTCTAGACATAGAGTCTCTCTATGGAACATAGCTGATCATCCCTTCATGCTGAAACCAGGAAAGAGGCAGCTTTAATCATTCCCATTGCCATGTTCGTAGGGATTCCCTCCTCCAGGGCCCGAGATGTTTCTTCTGATTCAGGCTCTGGAGGAAGAGGCCAGGAGGAGGGAAACTGCCTCCAGCCCTGCATTGCCTCCCCTCCAGGGAGAAGCTCCAGGAAAGGCAGCTGAGACATGAAAGCAACACAGCCATCTGGGGAGCGGGGCTTCTGCAAACAGAAGTTCTTGCCCCATCCCTGCCTTCCTTTTTCATGTCAGATGCTTCCTAACATAGCAATGGGTACACACAGAATTCAAGGGCAGGAAAAGACATTCTGTCTCTGAAAGTGCTCTCATCAATTTTCCAGCAGGCAAGAAGGAGGCATCAGCAACAGAGGGCTGTTGCCGCCTGTAGAAGACAAAACAGACCAGTAGTGAAAATGATGGCTGGACAGCCAGGCAATGTACTGCCCTCGCTGCTCCGGAGTAGGCAGAATTCTCCTTCTGATGACTGAACCTGCCTATCTGAGGTCGGCAGATGCGCATGGAGGAGGAACAGCATCTGTGACAGAGGGAATGGCCTGGAATCTAAGAATGCAGCCAGTACCAGCCACTTTGCTTCCTTCTGGATTTTGTTTTGAATTTAGTTTTGCCTTCTGGAACTTGGTCTCAAGGTTTTTTGTTTGTTTTGGTTTCCACCTTGATCACATCAGGAGCCTCTTGGGAACTTAGTCATGTTACCTCTTGCACTTTAGGCTGCTGGTGATGAATATGTTTTTAACCTCCAGTGGGCCAAGTTTCAGACCCAAGAATACAGCCATACACAAGTTCCAAGGCTCAGGAAATCCTTACTGCAGACAGGGGAGGCCCATACTGCCCTAACTCATTAGTGAAGCCCAGAGATTATTTGGAGAGGGAGAGTACCAGGATGCATAGTCTTGCACAAATACTTGGCAGAGATGGGATGCTGGGAAAGGTGGAGGGTGACAAAGAAAGGGAGGGTATCAAACACAGGCGGAGTCTTGGGAGGGGTGATGCAAGTCGGACACAAATTTAGGAACATGCTGCTTTGTAGCACCATCGAGACACCTGAAAGGCTATGAGACCTGCTCTAGCACCGCCACCAACCCGTGGGGCACCTCACTCTGAAGCTAAGCTGATTGTGCAGATCGCACAATCAGCCCCCTCCCTATTACCTTGGAGTCTGCGTGGGAGCCACCTTCCTTCCCAACAGCATCCAGGTCGGTCACACCTCGACTGAAATCCAAGATATCACTCCCTGGGAGTGGCACCTCCACGGCATCGATGTCCGTCTCCTCTGCAGTAGCTGTGGATGCCCTCTCAGCCCCAGCGAGCTGACGGCCTGCAGGGATGAGGGAGGAGTAGGAAGGAAATGGTGATACCACTTTTTCGAAACAAGCTCACAATTACACAAAGTCCAGGGTACACTGTCCTGACACTGTTATCTGTGCTTCCCCTCAAGGGTATTAAAGCATGTTCTCAACTTAGTAAGAGGTACTCTGTATCTCTTTATAGTCAGAAAACCACAGAACACTCCATCAAGCTTAGGTGTGACCACTCTGTTAGGTGGACCTACCTGTGGATGGAGGATGGCAAACGGAATAGGCCAAGAGAAAGAGCCCTGTTCGTGGAGTTGAGACGTAGAGACCTGTCCCAGCTAGATCCCCAAGAAGCTATTGGATCTCCAAGAAGCAAGTCAGACCATGAGCCCCAATTTCTTCAGTTAGAAGATGAGATATAAGGACAGAGTTCCCAGACTGAACTCTGACCGCCAGCTTCACACCATCAGCCTCCTAACCTCAAAGCCTAACTGGGCTCCTCCTACCAGGTCCAGGAAGAGGACAACGGGGAATCGGAAAGGGGCCCCAGTGACTGTTTTTAAAGACCTTCCACATGAAGTTTTCCTAGTTCCCACTTTGGTTTTTCTACTAGAAACAGTGCCCATGCCTTCAGTCACATGTACCACATTAAATATAAAGGCATGAGCATTCTATCATTTCTTATTTTTTTTTTGGTTCTTGTTCCTCTCTGTTTCTTGGGCTACATGAAAATCTTTGACAATGCACAGGCATTTCACAGGAAATATTTCCTTGCTGTATCTTGGTGATTAGATTCATTACTGTGGCCTTAACATTTCTTAAGGGTTTTCCAAGACTAGCACCACTTGTGAAATGCAGCAGTCTAGTGCAAGCAAGAAAGGAGGGAGCCAAGACCGTACTCCTGAAGCCAAGCCAGGCAGTCAGAGGAAATGGCTGCAAGACGTTTTCCCATGCTAGCCTACACAAGTCATCTGGAGAAGTTCCACAGCATGCTTGCTTTTCCTGCTGGCTGCTCCAGGAATGGAGGAGACAGCCCCAATGAGCATTTCAAAGGTGGTTCATAGAAAGACTGGTCCTGATGGTGGCTGGTGGGGCAATTTTTCCAAGCCTTGGTGAATCAGTACTAGGCAGAGTGTAGGAAACAGATGGGACCTTGATAACTTGGGGTTTAACCTGAGACACAGTGCAGACGACTGAATAGCCAGAGCATGGTGCTGGGAACTAAGCACTGAGTTCTCCCATGCCTATCCAGAGACAAACAGTGAGTGAGATGCTGTGTGTTTGAGTAGGAGAGCATTTCAGGAGCTGCTAAGAGGCTACAGCATTCCTGGGCTCCTGCAGCTCTCAAGGTGTTTATGTCTCTGGACACGTCGCACATGCTGCTGAACATGCCCAGCCATCTACTTTCCCTTCTCGACTTAGGGCCAGGACCAGGTCTAATGTACCTGTTTGCTAGGGATCCTGCAGAGGGATGATATTCAATACATGCTGACCTAACAGGTAGCAACTACAAGAAGGGCTGTCTTCCCATGTCCCCATCCGTGGAGGGCCTTACTATAAGGACTGAGCAGCCCTGTATACACAGGATCGGATGTATCCCTACCAGAAGCCTGGGTGGGATCAAAGAATGCCCGTGGCCCTAGCCCTGTTTCTGCAGCAGTCTTAGAAGCACACACTGTTCAGCCATTCTTTTTGTTGTAATGCGGTTCCCTAATAAAAGCCACAGTAACTCAGTGCAAACCACGGAGCTGCTTTCTTGAGGCCCTGTGGTGTTCAGACAACCACATTTGGAGTCTTGTCTTGACCTTTATATGAGTCATGGGTACAGATAAGTAGAGCAACATATGCATTCAAACTGGGAAGGGTACACCTGAGGTAGACTGGAATAGCATGCTTGATGCAGGGCCCTAAGTAGTGTGTGTACCTGTTAGCACATCAGATAAGACCTTAGGAGGGACCTGCAGCAAATGGCCCTTTTAGGTCCTATCATGAAAGGGAGGAAATCTGATACCTGCAACTGTCCTAGAACTGAGAAGTCTAAGGGATAAAAGATGGTATGATTTCCAATACACAAGAAATAAGAAAAATATGGGGTGCTGTGGCTTTCAATCTGTAACAGAGGGAAGGCCAAGACTATGTCTACAGATAGCATTGCTTCCTCAAAATATTTCTACCTGGGCCTGATGCGGTAGCCCAGGCTAAAGTCCTCACCTTGTAAGTGGAAGGATCACATATGGGCACTAGTTCATGTCCCAGCTATTTCAGTTCCCATCCAGCTCCCTCTCTGTGGCTTGGAAAGAAGTAGAGGATGACCCAAACCCTTGGGACCCTGCACTTGTGTGGGAAACCCAGAAAATGGTACTGGCTCCTGGCTTTGGACTGGCTTAGCTCCAATTCTTGTGGCCACCTTGGCAGTGAACCAGCAGATGGAGGATCTTTCTTCTGTGTCTTTCCTTCTCTCTGTATAATCTTTAAAAAAAAAATTGTACCTGACATGTTTAACAGCAACTAGAAGTCACTACACATATGCCCATTTCATTCTTTTATTCAATAACCATTTATTAAGCACCTTACATATGACAGAGACATATACATGAAGACAAAGAAGCTTCAGGAAGTGTCCTGCCAGATGCAGAAAACAGACATGAACTTCAGCTATACCCTGGATCCTAAGTGTCATCCATGAGGTGGCCAGCCAAAGTGTGGGACAACCGAAGAGGGCAACCAAACAGGCAGAGGTGGAAGAAACCCGTGTACAGAAAAAAAACACACCTGGAGAATTAGCTAAGGTAGGGGAGGAGGTGATGCAGGGGAGAGTGGTACAGGGGAGGAGGTAATGCAGGGGAGAGTGGTACAGGGGAGGACGTGGTGCAGGGGATCAGGGGAGCACCATAGAAGGCAGAGGGCAAGGCAGGTGCAAGGACAAAGAGGTGCAGAGATGGCAAGCATGTCAGGGGCACCACATGGGGCTCTGCAGTGAGGGATCTAAGAAGAGGAGACAGTGAATGCAGGTAGTACCAGAAGAGCTTCATTTACTACAGTGTCACCATGGAGGGAGTGTGGATCCAGAGCGGATAAGACAAAGCAATACTAGAAATATGGGGCTTATGCTAATGGACTGGTAATATTAAAGGGAAGAGGGGACAGAGCCAATGAAAGATCTCCAAGGAACAGAAAGCACAGGACTTGCTTGCTCTATGTTTATAGCAGAGGGCAGCAGGCAGGGCTCTGGGAATGATTCATCTAAAAACTCTTGAGTTAGGTGACTGTCATCCTACAGGGAGAGTCTGGGAGGGGCAGAATTGTGGTCAAGAGGATGTGTTTAGTTTAAAGCTATTCACACTCCAAGTCTGCATAACATCTGAGTGGCAATATCCATTAGGCTGTGAGCATGACACTCAAGCCCAATTCATTAAAGCCCCAACATGCATTCATTCATTCATTCATTCATTCATTCATTCTTTTTTTCTTCCCTTGCCTCCCTCCTTCTTTCTGCTGTCTGACAGACATGTCTAGTATTTAATCCTCCCAGTCTGATGCATGTGGTCTCAGTAGCCCAGACAGACTAATAATATAGCACATGCATGCACGGTTCAGGAAAAGGTCTGGCCAGGAGATTAACCTCAGTTAAAATCAAGGGAAGTTAGAAAAGAACACCAGGGACAAGTCCAGGAGGAATTACATCACTCACAGGGTGGGTAGAAAGGAAGCTGTGACAGATGTGGAGGGGCAGCTCTCACACAAAATAAGGCAAGTGTGGGAATGAGGGTGAAGGGTTGCAGGGCTGCAGAAAGTGAGTGCTTCGTTGCCAACCAAGGCTGGCCCCTTAATGACCTTGACTGTTAGCTTAAGGAAGGGTTGGCAAGGCAATGGCTGCTAGACTGCAGCGCAGAAATGGTGGGAAATTGGGCCCAGTGCTATGGGCTAGCGCCTAAAGTCCTCGCCTTGAATGCGCTGGGATCCCATATGGGCCCCGGTTCTAATCCCAGCAGCTCCACATCCCATCCAGCTCCCTGTTGGTGGCCTGGGAAATCAGTCAAGGACAGCCCAAAGTCTTGGGACTCTGCACCCGTGTGAGAGACCTGGAAGGAGTTCCTGGGTCCTGGCTTTGGATCGGCATAGCACCGGACACTGTGCTCACTTGGGAAGTGAATCATCGGATGGAAGATCTTTGTGTCTCTCCTCCTCTCTGTATATCTGATTTTCTAATAAGAATAAATTAAATATTTAAAAAGAAAAAAAGAAGTGGTGGGAAAGTAAGGAAGTAGACAATGAGTACTGGCAAGTCTACGAAGGAAAGGAGAGACAGGGCTATCAGCTAGGGCAAGACATAAGGATGAGGATGAGTTGATTTTGCTCTTTTAGATGGGAAAATTTTGAGCTGCATTCTCTGCCATGGACATAGAGGTCAGCACTGCAGGAGACAGGCAACAGCCCTCAGTACTCCAGACACTGGAGTAGCCCGAGACACTGGCCAAGGGCTGCAAAGGTAGGGGAAGGTGTTCATCAAAACCTTGCCCAGGTCAAGTATGGGGATCACCAATGTGCTCATGGAGTGTGATGTGGATGCTGGCGATCCTTGCTGCTTTGTGGCATCATGGGGTATATACACCTGTTACTAATGCAGAACAGACCGGATGTTGCCTGGCACCCCACAGACAGAAGAGCACATTGCTCTCAGTAACGAGCCAGAAATGGCCACGTTTTGCCTTGAAACTGATACAAAAACAATTTTAACTCAAGTGGGACATGCTCTGTTCTAGAGGGTAGTTTAAAGAAAGTTTTACATGTCTTAACTCATTATTATCCCCACTTGAGCAGTAAGGAGCTCATAACTAGAAAGGGAGGTGCAGGGGCTCCAAGGTCTCACTCTGGGGGCTCACAACCATGATACCACTCTGCCCTCACAAGGGCTTACCTGCTTTCAACCCCCAAACCATGCTTCATTTCTGCCATGGCTCATATGCTCTGTAAAATTATCTTGTTTATTTGCCACTTGCTTGCATCTCCCACCCCCACTCTG